TGTTGTAGTAACAAGATAACAATACTACATAGCAAGATAACAATACTACAAAGGCAGTAATTTTTCAAACCTACGATTTCTGGGTTAGTGCCACGTCCTGGGGGTGTAGCAAGGTAGGGTCAGCTTTTATGCTTAACTAACCGAAAGGTTAGCGCTGCCAGCAGTCATGATTGATTAACTTGTTTTTCCAGAGGAGTTACCTGGTTTCAGTTGTTCCCTCTGAGTCATATATCAGAATGGCTTTTTGGGCTTCAAGATGGCCACTCTTAGGCTAACTTATTTCTCAGGGAGGTTGGGGTCCTACAATAGATAAGATAAACTACCCAAAATACATAATCTTAATAAGTCAGAATAATTCCTGAGAAACAACATAAAGGAAAGAGAAAAGTGATTTATATTAAAGTAGTTATTTTAATATGTGTATACTCAGGAATGGTTACACTAAAAGAATGAAAGTAATACTTTTTGGATACTTCCTAAAAGCATTTTTAAAAGCTGTGTGCCCTTTTGTACATTTTAAAATTTATATTAAAAAATTTTTGCAACTAAGTTTAAATCACCACAAAGGATTTACCTTCCAGTGAATTTTAAATATTGACATCTTAAAGTAGAGCTGTTGGACCAATATTTTAAATGTATCCGATGGAATCTAAATACCATTATGATTTGGTATAAATCAGTCAACATCAATTTACAAATACTTGAACAAGCTCTTATATTTTTCATTGATATACAATTGATATGCAATTTTATATTGGTTTCAAATATATAACCCAGTGGTTTAACAGTTACCCATATTTTTAAATCCTTACCCCCTCTAGTGCAGTTACTATTGAACAAGCTCTTATTTTACAGGCAGAAACTCTATATCTCTTTTTCTTCTTGAATATGCACTTCCATTCCACTTCCACCTAAGAACTGATCCTAAGTTTAATATATATAATTTTTAAGTCGTTTATAGATCACCTTTCATACTTGTAGGCAACAAAATATTTATATAAATGAAATTTTAAAATTAATTTCTTTCTGTAACCATAGAGTTTTTAATGTTCTGGATTGAGCCATATTATAACACTGAACAAAATAATACAAAATCTATTATAAATTTTGATATTTATTTTTCCTGTAGGCAAATATTGGGGATATATTTGTATATAGGATACACAAATGAGAGAGACTTTCTTCACATAGTTTATATATCCTTGCATAAATATTACATATTGCTAGAATGAGACAGATTTTGGTATCAGTTCTATTCTTATTTATTTTACAGATAAGCACTGAGAAAAGTTCACATAGATAAACTTGTTGTTCACAAGAATGGAAGAAGCCCCTTTTGTCCCTTATATTGTTTTTAAAATGCAGTGTCTCTGAACTTCTTCCAGGTTTATATCCCAAAATATCAGATAACAAACTCTTAGCTGATAAATCAACTGGACTTCCTTCAGTTTTCTTGAAGACAAATAGTTGGAAACCACCTGTCTTGCAAAAAGATTAGTTATGCAGTCCTTAGAGCCAACATCAATACGACTATTTAAAATTCTCCCCTTTTTGGAGTCCCAGAGGTTTTTGGAGTCCAGGACAACACACCCTAGTCAGATTCAGGTGGATGGGAGGTGTGCCAGGGGGGCAGTTTGAAGTGGGAGGCAGGATGGAGAACCAGAAGTGTGCTATGGCAGATATATAGCGGGGGTATGTATGGAAATCGGAGATCTGTTTCCAGATAACCCTCAAGCTAGCCACACCTGCACACCCTTGGAAAGGTCTGTGGACTGGGGTGCATGTCATATAATTGAAGACTGCTAAACCCCAAGACATCAAAAAGCCCCATAAATTTCCAGAATGCCTCTAAAGGGCAATAACAGTCCCGTGGAAAGTCAAGGCCCTCACTGATCTGATTCTTTCACTCCCCATCCCTTCTTTCCCATTTCCACTTTACTTCAGTCGCAGACGTCCTTGGTGTCTTTCCAAGGCCCAAGCATGCGTCTGCCTCAGGCCTTACCTCCGGCACCTCCCTCTGCCCAGAGTTGCTTCCTCCAGACACGCACAAGACTCCAGGCTGCACTTAAGTTCAGTCTCTGCGCAAATGTCCTCCTACTGCCCTTGATCCACCCTGTATAAAACAGCATACCCCCACCCATGTCATTCATTCATTTGTTCATTCATTCAATAAACATTTATGGAGATTCTATGTACCAGGCATTGGAAATAAATCAGTGAATAAAACAAATATTTCTGTCCTCATGCTGTTTAAAGTCTAGTGAGATAAGAAAAAGAAAACATGAAATATAGAACATAAAATTATGCCCTGTGTTAGAAAGTGATTAAGTGGTGTTGGATGAAAGCTCAAGCTAAGGGGAACTGAGATTGCCAGAAGTGTGTGTGGGGGTGGGCTGGGGGCTTGGATTCGCATGAGATGGTTGGGGCAGGCCTCACAGGAAGCATGGCTTGCCTCAGTCAGCTCAGGCTACCGTAACAATGCGCCACAGACTGCACGGCTTAACCAGCAGGCATTTTCTCACAGTTCTGTAGGCTGTAAGTATGGAATCAGGGTGGTAGGTGAGACCTCTCTTCCTGCCTTGCAGAAGGCTGCCTTCTTGTGGTGTCCTCATAGGACAGAAAGAGAGAGAGAAAAAGCGGGGAAACAGGGGGAAAAGAGGGGATGGGGAGGGGAGACTGAGTTAGTGTTTGGTGTCCCTTCCTGTCAGGGACTGGTCCCATCATGAAGACCCCACCCTCAGGACCTCATCCAGATCACATCACCTCTCAAGGGCTTGTCTCCAAATACCATCACCTTGGGAGTTAGGGTATTCAACATATGAATTTGGCGTGTGGGCTGGGGAGAGGACACATAATTCAGTCCCTGGCAATGGTGACAATTGATCAGATACTTGAAGAAGGGAGGGGTGATTCAGCTGCATACTGGAAGAGCACTCCAGGCAGAGGAAGCAGCCAGTGCACAGGTTCTGAGGTGAGGCCCTACGTGAGCAGCAAGGAGGCCCCCCTTGGCTGGGGCAGTGAGCAGGGGGAGAGTAGTTAAGAGGTAAGTGAGATCAGGAGGGAGGGGGCAGATCGGGTAGACCTTGTAAGCCGTTATAAGGACTGGAGCTTTTCTTCTGAGAGAAATGGGGGACCCTGGGAGGTCTGAGGAGTCTGCTACTAGAGGAGGGATACTCCTACACAGGTGGGAGGGAATAGGATCTCAGGAACAAGGGGGGGCCTGCCTGTAGGCAGACATACAGTATTGTAATAAGAGGGAGGAACACAGGGACAGACTCCCCACCCCCGTTCCCCTTGCTTGTGAGCAATTGGCACATGTCATCATCTGTGAAATGACCTACTCTTGTGTTTACTGTCTCTTCCCATCACTGGAATGTGAGCTCCACAAAGCCAATTACACTGGTATTTAACTGCTGTTTCCCAAATGCCTTAGAATAGTGCCTGGCACATAAAAGCATTAAATGTTTTTTTAAAAAATTGCCTGGATGACTGGCTGATTAAGAAAGAGAGATAATAAGGTATATAGTTCTAATCCTATCCTGTTCTCCACATCTTTAAAGCCCCATGCCACAACAAAGAGATGTAACAATCCTGAGTCCACAGTGATACCAGCTGATGCTGTTGGGGTTTATCTTGTTTTCAGATTCAGGCATGGTGGCATGGAATAATGGTACAGAGAGGACTGGGGAAATGTGAAGAACTGCCAAAATTACCAAAAAAAGGAAAGAATTCTCCTAAAGATAAGAAAGGAAACAAGGATGTAAAAAGAAAACCTGTTAAGGGAAATAAATAAATCCATAAATTAATGAATTGATGTAATGAACCCTGATAAGTTAAGAAGGTAAAATATCTAGGAATTAGGTGCCTACCATGCTAAAATTATTCATAGAATTATGGTTATGGATAAAAATAAAAGTATGTATAAAAAAATCTTGCTTTTACTGAAATATTTGTGGATAAAATGATAGGGTTCCTGGTAATTGCCTCAGAATAATATCAGGGAGAGGTAAGGGGGGATCCAAGTGAAAGAAGGTTGGCCGTAATTGATAATTGTAGAGGCATGTGGTTGGTACATGGAAGTTCATTATGCTATCCTGTCTACTTTAGAAAATTTTAATTTTGAAATAATCATAGCATCATAGGAAGTTCCAAAGAAATGTCTCCTAGGTCCATTTACCCTTCACCTCCCTCAATACTGACATCTTGCATAACCATAGTAAAACAACAAAACCAGAAAATTCACATTAGATTCCATCATTTATACATGCACTCATTTGTGTGTAGTTCAATGCAGTTTTATCACATGTGGCTTTGTGTAGCCATCAAGGCAATCAAGATACAGAATTGTTCCATCACCATGTCTCCTTTTAGTGCTATTCCTTTTAGTCTCACCTACGACCTACTTTCTCCCAGAGCCTCACCTGTTCTCCATCTCTATCATTTTGTTATTTCAAGAATGTCATATAACTGGAATCACACAGTAGGTAACCTTGGATAATTTAGGTAATCCAAGTTGTTGCAGGTTATCAATAACTCATTCCTTTCCCTTGCTGAGTAGTATCTCATAGCCCCGCACTTTAACCATTCACCCATTGAACAGCATTGGTTTCCAGTTTTTGGCTATTAATGAATAAAGCTGCTATGAACACTTGTTCAAAGGTTTGGGCATAAGCATAGGTGTTCATGGAACTTGTGAGAATGCCACATTATGAGAAATGAAGAGTGCATATTATGTTAAGTATCTCTACTTAAAGCACTCAAAATCTCCTTATCCTGATGACTCTTTCTTTTGGAACAGTATTGATTTCAAATTTTACATGTCTTTAAAGCAATGATTGCAATATTATCAGTGTAGTAGGAAGAAAGCAAAATATAATTTGATTAGAGCATCTCAGAGTAGAAATGTGTGAGCAAACACCTCTGTCATGCAATGAATTTCATGCTCTCATAATGAAAAAAACCCAAAATTTCAAAGATCACTTAGAGCAACACAAAACTCTTAATAAATGAATCAAATAGGTTTTATGTAGCAAATTTCATGCCAAACAAAAGCCCAAAGGTGATGTTTATTTTAATAAATATTTCACTTTATTCTTAACAGATGTGTTCTTGATGTTGGATTTTGAATTTCTGACCAGTAGGTACTAAGATTTATGTGCCAGTGACCGTGATTAGTGTTTGTGGTTTATGTATGGAATAAAAGCCACAGGAACATAAATAATAAACCAATGAAGGCTATACTTTCAATAAAAATGGAAGTAGACCACATTAAGATACATATAATAATGGTAAAGATAGCAAACTAGTACACGACTGGTGCCTTTCACATTAGACTTGTGCACACACATACACCCTTATATTTAGAATGTTTAACATGTAGAAAAAGAAGAAAATTCCAGGACAAAAAAAGGAGATGCATTACCAGAATCTAAACTTTTTTGGCAGGACTTCTGAACAGTAAGTGACCTAATTACATATCCAAAACAAATGAAAATCCATTGAAAAAATGTTTCATGTGATAGAGAATAAAGACATGCTCATATCAGATTATTAGATGCATATATTTACAAAGCTCTTCTAACCTAAGTCCCATTAAACAGCCCAGAAGTTGATACACCTTTGCTTACACTGGAATTCTTTCCTGTTCTTTTCCTCCTTTGGGGAATGGTTTGTAGCTTAGTTAAGGTTTGGGAAATCTGCTGACTGAAACCCACCATGGTCAAAGTGAATGCTGTTACCGTGACCTTGTTCAAAGCCTTCCACTTCCTCCTCCTGTGAAGCTGGGAGGATCCACCTTTTCATTCCTATCTCGGTGATCTCAGGGAGTTTGGTCACCGCATGTAACAAGTGTCTAAACCATTGTCCACAATCCCGAAAAGTGGATGGCCGAAGGCTGATGTCTAGCGTGGTTAAATCTTTCAGGAGCCACATGTGTCGGCAGAAGACGGTCCATCCTGCACCACAGATGTTGTCATTATAGCTCAGGTCGAGCTCCCGCAGCTGCGCCAGGTGGCCTGCCTGTATTGCTGAGGCTGAAAAAAGCAAAAACTCTCGAAATGCTAAAATACAAGAAGGCTTTATTCTGAAGTTACTTGAGTAACAAATTTCCTCTCTGTGCAGCCCATGTAGGGCTTAAAAATGAACCTTTTTCGTTCCAATTCTCAGCCCACAGAACACCTTTTCTGTCCTGTTCCGCTGTCTGTTGCACCGCAGTCCCCGTTCTTCCTGCAGACTTCCTCTAGACAGACAGGAGGAGCGATGGCTTGTTGGTTTTAACTGAGGACCATTTGTAAATAGTCTTCTTGTTGTTTAATACTGTTTAATTGTTTATTGCTAATTTATTCAGTAACTCCTCAGTCAGCACTTTTTAATTGAGTGCTTTCCATGTGCAAAATATGCCTGGATAATTTCTAATTCACCTTGAGCCCTCTAAAACATGGGATAGTTTTCCCTTTGAATAGCACACATCACAGTACTCTCTGAAATGGCACTTAATAAATAACAGTTAATGATGAATCTAAGAAAAGACAATGACTTCTATAAGAGAAGGTAGGAGAGACACCCACAGCCAACAGCTCGCGCTTCCCTTGTCAGCCAAAAGCAGAAATGGATTACAGAGGTCAAATGAGTAGTGAAGAATCTCAGAGTTGGAAGGGACCTTGGAGATCTCTTTATTCAACCTCCAGATCAGTGATCAGAGAGGAATCCCTCTCAAAGCTTCTGTCCTGATTCTGATTTTCAGCCTGAGTCTGCCTGAAGCCCCCTTTCAGGGTGCCCCACCAGGTGAAGCAGCTCTCAGCAGGAGAAGCCCTTCCTTTGGGCACCTTTCTGCTTTCCAGTGAAGTCCACCCACTGACCACAGCCCACTGAAATCTCAGCTCCTTTCTCATGCCAGCCATGCAGTGTTGGACAACAGTAAGGTCCCCTCAAATTTTCCCCTTTTAGGACTAAACATGCCCTGGTCTTTCAATCATTCCGCGTGCATCATGACTCCAGACCCACCGCCATGGCTTTCCCTTGCTGACATGTGGTGCTGCTGTGGGTCTGAGCACTCAGTGGTGCGCACATGCGTCTGAGGGCCCAGCATACAAAGAGTAGACAGGAGAGTGAGCCCCTGTTTCCCCACTGTTCAGCTTCAGCAGTTACCTTTATTATACCCATCTTGGCTTACCTAGCCCTTTACTTTTTTTTTCTTTAACATTTTCTCTACTGTTTGTATCCAGTCATGTGAGTATCCTAATTATTATATTTAGTATTTTATACATTATGTTTTTTGAAATCTGGTTAATAGAATCATAAGCTACAAAAGCATTTTTTGTAGTTTATGATATGAAAGATATTGTATTTATGTTCTTTATTTCATAATTTTTGCTGCCTAGTTTTTTTTTCAGGTCAAATTTATACTTTTACATTATGTCTGGGATATTTTTTCCTTCTTTTGATTTTTAGTGAATAACAAATATTACTATGTGTGGTTAGCTATTGGCACTTTTATATTGCTTTGCTTATTTCTAACAGAAACATTCTTTTAGAATTTCTTAATCACAAGTCCTACAGCTACAAGGAACTGCATGCTGTTAACAACAAGAATGAGCTGGAAAGGAGGCTGATTCCCAGAGCCTCCAGATGAGAACTTGGCTTGGCTGATGCCTTGAGGTCAGCCTTGGGAAACCTTGAATGGAAAACCAGACAAGCTGTACCAGATTGTGGCCTCCAAAACTGTAAGCAAATTAAATGAGTATTATTTTAAGCCACAGATTAATGTGTCACACAGCAACAGAAAACAATTCACCTTTAGTCAGGTTAGCCAAAAAAAACAAAGATAGAAACACAAATTACCAATATCAGGGATGAGAGAGGGGTAGCACTATAGTTGTTAAAAGGCTAGTAAGGGAATAACTTTATTTCCATCAAGCGAGGTGAAATAGAGCCATTCTTGGAAGACATAAAGTACCAAAACTCACTCAATAAGAAACAGAGAATCTGAAGAGTCCTACATCTCTTTTAAGAACTGAATTTGTAATTTAAAATTCCTCACAAAGGAAATTCCAAGTTTAGACAAGTTCAGTGAAACAGTTAAGGAAAGAATAATACCAATTCTACAGTCTTTCCAAGAAATACAAGAAGCAGAAACATTTGCCAACTTATTTTATGAGACCATCATTACCCTGATACCAAAGCCAGACAAAGACGTTACAAGAAAACCATTAGATTATTATGTTGCATGAACATAGCAATAAACATCCCCAACAAAATGTTAGCAAGTAAAATCCAGCAATATATAAAAAGACAATACAGCACAACCAAGAACGGTTTATCCTGGGAACATGAGGCTGATTTAACACTTGCCAGAGGAGGATTCCTCTACCTGATAAAGAGCACATCTACAAAAACACTTACAGCTAACATTACTCAGCAGTAAAAGACTGAATGCTTTCCCCCTAAAACTGGAAACAGGCCAAGGATGTCTGCTCTCACTACATTCATCACCGACTGGGAGTCCTATCCAGTTAAATAATGAAGAAAAAGAAAATATATACAGACTGGAAAGGGAGAAGTAAAACTGTTTCTAATTATAGATGATATAACTGTGTAGAAAATCCTGTAGCATCTATCAAAAATCTTCTAGAATTAATAGATAAATTTAGCAAAGATGCAGTAAAAAATATCAATATACAAAACTCAATTGTATTTCTACATAGTAGCAATGACCAATTGGGAATCAAAATTTTAAAAAACAGTACCTTTTATAATACAACCCAAAAGTGAAATACTTAGATATAAATTTAACAAAATATGTGCAGGATCTATATGGTAGAAAGTACAAAACACCAATGAAAGAAATCAAAGAGAACACAAATACAAAGATAGAGATTCTGTGTTCATGGATTAGAATACTCAATAAAGTGAAATATCATTTCTCCCTGTATTTTTCTATAGACTCAAAGCAATCCCAATCAAAATTCCAGCAGGATTTTTCATAGATATTGACGATATGATGCTAAAATTTATAAGCAAGTCTCAAAGAACTAGAATAATCCAAACAATTTTGAAAAAGAACAAAAAATATTCACTACCTGATTTCAAGGCTTACTATCTAAAGCTTCAGTAATCAAGATATTGTGGTATTGGTAAAATAGACACGTAGATCCATGGGACAGAATAGAGACCAGTAATAGACCCTCACAAATATGGCCAACTGATTTTTGACAAAAATACAAAGGCAATTTAACAGAGAATGGGTAATACTTTCAACTAATGGTGCTCGAGTAATTGCACAGCCATAGGCACAACAAACATTAACCTCTGGCCCTTTTCTCATACCTTGTACAATAATAACTCAAAATGAATAACTCAAACAAATTTGCTGGTTTTCAAAATTAGGCAAAAGATTCTGACAGACACTTCACCAAAGAATATATATAGTTGACAAATAATCATGTAAAAGCATGCTCATCATCTTTAGTCATTAGAGAAATGCAAATTAAAATCACAGTGTTTTGTCCTCATCTCTACGCTTTGCCATAACACTTGTTTTGAAAACACAGATTTGCTCCAACTAGATTGAAATATCAGAGAACAGTTTGAGCATGACACAAATTTCTTGTTTGTTGCATAATTTGTCCAAAGGAAATCCTAGGTGAGCACAGAAAACTGCACCCAGGTGACCTTAGATATGAGTAAATGGAATCGACACATGCACACATTGCGCAAGGACCATGAGCTTCATCCATCCACATCCAGGGTTCAAACTTTCTATGTAATGTCAGATGATCCTTGTTCTACTACTTTTAATAACTCACAAGCTGCAACCCAGGGCTGCATAGCCCTGACCCCTCCCCTTTCCTCCCCTTTCCCCCTGCCAGTTGTATATTATCCTCTCTGTCCCTCCTTAGCAGGCATGGGAACCGGGGGCAGGCCACTGGGAGTGTGTGGACAGCTTTCTCCCACAAACCAACTTCAGGTTTTTTTTAAGGTAAAGTGCCATCTTCACTGTAGTATTTATGTATTTCTTAAGTGTTAACATGGATAAACTTCACTACCATTTTTATTAGTTCCCTGACTTTTTTTTTTAATGTTTCACTGATGAAGGTTTTAAGCGTTGTGCTTCTAACCCTAAGCTCTGTGATTATTATGTGATTTTTGCAGAGCATAAATGTTTTGGCACATATGTCATGTTAAAGCAGAACTGACTGTAAATACACAAGAGAATACAGATATACCTACCTGATGCCTGTTCTGGACCCTTTATTCGGAAGGGTTCTCATTACTTCAGAGACCTTGCAGCTGATGGCTGCATAGTGATGGAGGTATGGGGATAAGGGCAGATGAGAGATTCATTGTCTTGACCATGGCAAGGCGATTTTAGGGGATTTGTGGTAAGGCATTATATAGTTTGGGATCCCACAGTGCAAAAGTTATTCCTATTCAACTCTCTTTCCATCTTTCTAAATTGACATGTACAAAGTTTCATATTGGATCTCCAGTGTGTCTTTTACCCCCTCATCTCCTTTTTATAACAGAGAATAACTCCTACTCAAAGCTTTCAGCCAACAACATTCTAACAATGTCTGTCAGAAGTGATACCTATTTCAGTTAGGATGAAGATCAGTTTCCTGTTTAATTAAACACATTTATGTTTAAGAGTCAATACAAGGGGAAAAATAAATAATAGTGCAGGTGCCCTCTGGATAGGGCAAAATTTGTGCATGTAGACAGTCTATAACTGGTTTGATGAACACTGAGCTGGCTAGAGACCACAGAAGACTCCCATGTATGGGGAAGGTATGGAACTGAAGCTGGTTGCCCCAAAGGAATCTCCCACCACATCTGGGTCCAATGCCTCCTGTGGAACACCTGTCACTGCCTCCCTGATTTGAGAATTGCCCTTATTTTTTTAACCAGATCTCTCCTGCTCAGATGCCGGGGAGAAGGGAAGCTGCCCAGAGCGCTCAGCCAGACCTTGCTGCCTTCTCCACCTCCCTTCCCCTGTTCTTGCAGGGTAGACGCAGTGGGTTCCACATGCCAGGACTGCTTTGGAATCAGTAGATACAAACCCAAGACAGCCACATCTTCTGTCACCAGGGAACAGCTGCTTAGCCTCAGCACTTGAAGGGAAGTTGAGAGCTTTAGTGTTTCCAGAAGCAGCTTCAGGTTGCCACCAACACACTTATTCCAAGAAAGGTTGACTATTTCCAGAGCAGGGAGGTGAATGGAGGCTTCAGCTAAAATTAGTAACAAAAACAGCAATCATTTAAACTTCTTTAGAGATTATAAGCCCTGAATTTGAGGAACCTAGGCAAGGACAATGTATTAATATAGCTGAGGTTAAGAAAGGCATAGAGAATATTTTCTTTTGCCTGAAATTCATGGCCTCAATTTATGTTGTCAATTTTTATTTGGAAGAAATTTTAGAAACTTTAGAGAAGTAAAACTTGATTAAATGGAATTCACTATTAATTGGGATTTCTTTCCTTCATGTCACATTTATAAAGAGGAGAGAGAGAGACAAAGAATTTAGACAGCTATTTAAGATTATTCCGGAGTATGTCCTGATTGTACATATTTCTGTACACCGTGGGGTCAGTGCTGAAGTTTAGAGACAGGGCCAGGCCTCCCTAGGATTCTGAAACACCAAAATATATTATGTTAACTTGCCTGCAGTTACAGAGACAATGAAGGGAACCAATGTATTTTGGAAAGATTTTTAAAGGAAATTAAAAGAGTTTCTGCTTAATCCTCATTTGCCCCTAATGTGAGAATTACCTAGAAGAATTTATTCCCAAGATATAATAGTTAATCACACTTTAAACTATTCTGCCTTCTTTCTAAAGAATAACATGTTCATGTTATTCTTTCAAAAATATATATTCTTTTATATTACCTAATAAAATCCTTCCCACATGTATGGTACAGAGACCTACCAATAAGAAATGGCACTTCTTTTTCTTCTAAAAGTGATGTGGACAAATATATATTTACTTGATTTATTTATTAATTAAAATTGAATAATAGACTTATGTCAGATGGTATAATTTAGTGTAATAGCTATGTGAGTATGGTTTATTATGAAGCTATAATTGTAAAGAGCTGCATCTTCTGATGATAGAAGACACACATATTTTTCCAAAAATTTCTTAAGGAATATCCAACTTTTTCCAACTGGGAAGTATATTTATGAAATACCATGTCCCCAGATTTTTTTTTCCAGAAATTTCTGAGCATTTGAACAGTGGACTGTACTGTGTGTGTGTGTGTGTGTGTGTGTGTGTGTGTGTGTGTGTGTGTGTTTACCCAACCATTATGGGGATTACAGACCTCTTTGAGAAGTTTGTTGACTTAACTAATATGTAGAAACACCTAAAAGGTGGTTAGGGTATGCAGTGAAGAATGACCATGACCCCTGCTCTCAAGGAGGTTACCGTCTAGGGGGAATATGGCCATTAAACACACACACACCAATAAATACATAATTATAAATTCTGATTAAGGCTACAAAGAAGATACAGGGGCTCCTGACTTAGAGAGGAGCTGCCTTAAAAAGGACATTAATGCTGAGATCTGAAGATGGAGCTGCCCAGGAAAGAACGGGGGGCTAGGGCATTTGCAGAGGAGGTTCTGCCCATAGAAGGGAGCTCCATGGCAGGATGGAACCACAACAAACCATCTGAGGCTGGGTTCAAGGAGTGAGGGAGAGAGTGGCCAAGAAGTACAAAGGTCAGATCATCTGGGCCTTTTAACTCCATTAAGGAATCTGGATTTTACCAGAGGTGAGACAGGCAGTCACTGGCTCTAGTCAAACTGGATAGTGATAAGATCCAATGTACTTTGAAATTTATACACTCTCTCCCCATAATAATATTAGCAACTAACATTTGTTGAGCATTTACTCTGTACCAAGCACCTTTCCAAGAACTTTACATGTATTAAACCATTTATTCTTACAACCCTATGAGGTAAGTGCTATTACTCCATTTTACATTTAATAGACAAGGAAACTAAAGCACAAGGATGTTAAGAACCTCAGGTAACAAGAGCCAGAGTCAGGCTTTGATTTTAGGCAGTCTGATTCCAGGCACTTGGGAAACAGAAAATGTATCTCACATACCTGTCACCACTACCACCAAAAAGAAAATAATTGCTGTCAGTTTCAGGGAGTGCGTAGCCTCCTCGGCCAAGCATAACTGTAGACTGACTTTCTGATCCACTCTCTGGATATGGCAGGTCCACAGACCTCAGATTAAGAATTTCCAGATCTGAAAGGTACCTATCCTGTTACTTTTCCCTATCCAGACATTGCAGACAAAGAGATGAGCAATACTGGGGGAGGCCTGGGTGCAGTATGTGGCAAGGACCAAGTCTTTGTGGGCTGTATAAAATACTTGGGCTGAACAGGAGGGCAAGAGAACCTGTACAGAGAGTTCTTAGAATTTGGGGTAAATTATATGCATGCATTCCTATTAATAGATATTAATAAATAGCTACTTACTATTTTATTAATAGAATACATTAATTTCATTAGTAATAGCCCTTGTCTGGTCCACAGGATAATTCATTTTTAAGGAAGTATCAACTGACATAACACTTGGGAGGTCAGAGGGAAGGACTCTGTTTTCATTGTTATCCAGGAAGAATCAGAATCCAACCACTCTAGTCTTGTGCTTGTGTGCAAAAAAAGAGTTAACATACCAGCCTAAGACTACTGTCCCTAGAAGTGACTGCTGGAGAGGCTGGCATCTGGGAACTTGGAATTTGGAAGTGTTCCCACCATTCCTGGACTGATGAGAGTGGTTCATTGTGTGTTTAAACTGTGTTTATACATACGATTTATACTGCACACCAGCTTTCCTTCTGTGAGTCTGGAATTTTAGTATGTGTGAACTAGAGGGTGCCTGCGTGACCAACCCCCAGTAAATACTCCAGGCTTGAAGGTTCAGGTGAACCCCCCTGGTAGGCATCATTTTACAGTTTGCTGGATTGAAGTACACCATGTGTATTCCCACCAGAAGAAGTCTCTAGGAGCTTGTGCCTGGTTTCCCCTGGACTTCATCCTGTGAACCTTTCCCTCTCCTGATTTTGCTTTGTATCCTTTTGTTGTAATAAATCTCAGCTGTGAGTACAACTGTGTGAGAGACCTGTGAACCCTAGTGAATGGCTGAGCCTGGCAGCGGTGTTGGGGACCCCTGCCCAGCATCGTGCACCCAAAGTGCTGGTTGCTCAGGGGGGATATTTGGAAAAAGGCTACAAAGTCCCTTTGCTCAGCATATCTCCCTCTGCTTGCTGACACTCTTTCCCTGAATACGCAGAAAATTCAGATTCACTAGACCCTTGACCTATGCTGGGCTGTATCCAGTATCCATGACCTTTAGGCACACCCAGGTTCTTGAAAGAAGACAGTGAATCCTGTTGGGAAGTGGATGCTCAGTGGTTAGTGAGGCTCACACACTAGCAATTGCCTCACTTTTCCTGTCAGACTCACAGCAATCCCAATTTATATTGGCACCTCAGTGAAATTACAAGTTACCAGGGACACGGACCCCCAGAGTTGATTATTACACTTTAAACTGTAAATGCTAAATATGCAAATGCCAGAATCATACATGTGGCCTTCAGAAGGTCACTTTTAAGAGCGCATATTTCCGGAAAAGAAGACAGATTAGTAATCACATATAACATTAGTGGTTGAGCCTTGGAGCAGAACTCCTGCGCAGGGAAAGGAGAGGCCTCTCCTCTGCTGCAGTGTACTGCAGGCCTGTAGAGGTCTGGGAACTCCCTTACCCAGGGTGGCAAAAGTCTCACATTCCAAAGCACAGTTGTTGATTAGTAAGGACTTCAGTGCTGGTAGAAATCGGAGCCTGCTAAGTAGGTGCTCAGAAGCGGTTCCCACCTTCTTGTTGGCAGATAAATCCAATTCTTGAAGACTCGAGAGTAAAGGGATCACCTGGGCTGTTGAAATACCAACAGTGACATGCATTTCTATTAATAGATATTATTAGTATCTACTAGTAAATAACTAGCTACTTACTATTTTATTAATAGAACACATTTTGGCACCATCTCACAAAGAGTCTTCTAGGCGTTTGTTTCCCACCCTCTTCTTGATTGGCAGTCACGGCTCTCCCCAGTTTGACCCCTGCCCTCCCTTATCATGGCCACAGATGGACTAAAAACCCTCCATCTCAAGGCTATGCTTACGCTGTTATGGGAAACCGCACCTAGACATTTCATTTTGTAATTACAGGACTATGTCTGTGGTAGGAAAGTAAGTGTAGCTAAAACTTCTTTAAAGTTATATGTACACTAATTACGCACCACCCCACTGACTTTTTCTGTAATTTCATTTGTATCTAAGTGGCTTGACTTTGCTTGGTAGAAAGCTTCAACACCTTTGTTTTGGCTTTCTCTGTACTTTCCTCTTTGCAATTAACTCTGTGACACTAACATTCATTTATGAACAGCAAAATAAATTCAAAATTTTCTCCTTCAAGTGCCACATCTATCATTAACAGACATGTATAGGAGGAATTTAGATTCACTAATATTTACTGGGCACTTAATACATGCCAAATACTATATTGAGTATTCACAGAACTTTTATGATTTGATCCTCCCAGTAACCTCATTAACTAAGTTTAGGGGTTCATCTCAAATTTTCTAAGTTTCCAAACATATGCCAAAGTTCCAGAAGTCCTTCTGTTAGGCAGAAAGATAGATATGAGCGAGATGAAAAGAGGGTGGAGCCCACCAAGAACTCAGGGAGTTAATCAGATTGATCCAGAAAGGACTCATCCCTTTGTAATGTGAGTTCATTCCACATGCTCTGAATCTGGGCTGACTTTGAGACTTGCCCTAGCTAATGCAGGTGAGATGGGGCACAAGCACAAGGCAAGCATGATGACTAATTTTCCTAAAAAATGATGGAATTAGCATAATAAGAACAAGAGGGACTTATCTTAAGGTTAAGATTCCACTTTTGAAAGAGAATTAGGAAGTTAGCTTCAGCCAATGACTTATCTTAAGGCAAGGCAAGCAGTCCTAACTGATGCGTTCCTGGTACTTGGGAGCGGCCACTGTCCTAGAGAGGAGCAAAAGGTGTCTCTCCCCAGGGATAGAATCATGAGATGAGACCACCTTACAGGCCTACCCCCCGACACTTTACCTTTGCCACATTCTTGAAAGCCTTAAATGACAGAATGCCAGCCTTTTAGGTACACCTCCTCCTCTCTGAGGTTGCCTGCCCTCCCCTTCCTTGGAGTATTTTCAAAAGACATTTTACTGCTCAGCTTATTACATTTTGTCGATGTGCTCTTCCAGTGGTGTCTTTGGCACTTTGCAATTTCACTCCATTTTCCAGACTTTAAGCACAAGTGTTCACTCTCTGTGTCCTACTCCAGATAAGCAAGTAAACCTGCCTTTACCTACCTCAACTTTAGCCCATTCCTCTCTTAGAGTATGTTCAAATATAACTTCACTCTACTTCTGCTGTGTCTCTGCCCTTCAATTCTTTGTTGCAGTGGGGACGAGCCGAGGAGAACAAACCCACCACCCCAGCACATCTGTGGCACATGCTTACTCAGCGACACCACGTCGGCTGCAGTCAGCGAGCACTGGTGAAGATCCAGGGCTTCCAGATGCTCCATCTTGGCCAGCTGAGCTGCTGAGTCTTCAAAACCTCCACCCAGTTCCTTGTTGCAGGAAAGGTCCAGTTTCCTCAGCTTACTCATGTAGCTAAAAGCAGCAACTACAAATAAAGCCAAACTCCCATTCAAACATATCACAAGGTGGGAGGCAGGGGTGGGGTGGGGGATGGGGCAGGTGTGCAGAAGGGAGACTGAGAAAATACACTGGGCTCACAAAAGCCAAGACAGAGGAGTAACTTCAGACTCCCTGCCATTTAGTACCCTTTGGACCTGACAATGGCTTCAAACCCACACTCCCTACGATCTGTGTAGACTGCCAATGGTTCTGATCAGAAAACTTCAAGTAACGGCTGTCCTCCTACTATGCTTGAGCACTGGAGTTTTCATAGAATTCTAGGCTTCTAGAATAGAATTCTATAACATTGTATAGTATTTCAACTTTGAGGGCTTGGGGGTACAGGAGGGTGCAATGGCCAAGGGGGGAAGCTTAACATTTCTGAAACCATTTCCCACAGGAAAGTATCTGGGGGTTATAGAGTGGAGGCTGGGAGGGAAGTCACCAGAAAGATCAGCCTTCTGAATGACTTTCAGTGTCTTGGGCAAAACAGGGTGGAGAGCCACACAAGTGGAAAATGTATAAAAGTTTATGTGTGTGTTTGTGTGTGTGTGTGTGTGTGTGTGTGTGTATGCACATATAAACTTCAGGCATTGCTAACTCACCTAATAGTTGGACACTCTTTTGTGATAATCCACATGAATGTAACTTTAATACTTTCAGATTTGAAGTACTTTTTAATCCTTGAGCAATGCTTTTTAGACTGCCACCGATGTTTCTATTAATGGAAAGATCAAGTATTTCAAGATTTTTCAGCATAGGTAGCAACTGACCTGGAAGGAAAGGAATCCAAATCAGAGCTACTCAATAAAAGTGCAGTGTGTAAAAGCTGAGACAGGCAGGGTGGGTACGCTTCATGACTGGGGGTTACTGAGGGTAAGGGAAGCACAGCCACCTTTGACTCCCAGTGATCCAGTCACGGCGTCTTCACATTTATTTTTTTTCCGAGAGGACTTTTCCAAATTCCACTTACCCACAAAGGTCCCATCCTCTGACGTGAGGGCACAATCCACAAGCTCAAGCGTCTGTATCTTGCTCCCTTCTTGGACTGCCTGGAGTATCAGAGGCAGCGTTCCTCCCACTTTACTGTTCCAGGACAAATTCAGCTCTTCAAGTTCAGGTATTGCTTTAAGCGCATCTCCTGGAAAAAAATGGCTTGAAGAAGATCAATTGATCACTAGTCCGCAAAGCAGGGAATTTATTTCAAAATCAGTACAACCATTATTTATGGACTATCAAAGCTGGGCCAGGTATCAGGTACTGGTGCCAAGGAACAGAGAGAATAAAAGGACCCAGGTCCTGCCCACCCCCAGCAGGGTGAGCTTTTGCATTTACAGGCACAGCAAGTCTAGTACCTCCAAAGATCTGAAGCCTTGCTTTTGAGCAAGTGTTGTTGTAAAACAAATAAACCTATCAGTAGTATGGTTATTACTGGCTGTTTTTGTGGCAGTAAACATTTGTACTAGTTTATCTGCTTCCCTCACCACCCTCTCTGGGGTCTGCATCACTGAGAAGCTTGGCCAGAGGTAGACGTGACAGAAAGTAGGGCCCTGGCCCCACAGGAGTAGAGCTCACTTTGATATCAAGAATATCACACACTACAGAACCAGCCACGACAGAGAACTAATGCCAGACTGTCAGGCACTAGCACCTCCTAACAGCCACAGCCACCTCTGGGGTAGAGGGTGTGTGAGAAAGGGGCGGAACTTGATGCTTCTGAAACCCTTTCCCACAGGAAAGCATCTGAGGGCTCCAGAGTGGAGGCTGGGAAAGAACTGGGAAGTGACCCGGCAAAACCAGCCTTAGGAATGATTTTCACTGCCTTGGGTGAAACAGGACAGAGGCCACACACCTGGAAAATGTACTTTCTCAGCATTCACAGTCTATCTTACCACCAAACAATTGTGTGCTGGAAAGTCCCTTGTGTTCAGAAGCCACTCTTCCACTGTCTGCTCCTGGGCTTGGACTTCTACCATGGGTTATTCATTGTTTGAATTAAGGTTTTAGGAGTCCAGAATCCCCATTTAAAATGCATGTTCTCCTGGCACAGGTGTGACTTTGTGTGCCATTGCCTGTCAACTGGGGATAGTTCTCTGTAGTCCTGAGGTGTCCCCCAGGGTCATGGAGAAAGGGTGTCACTGTTTAGCTGTGCCACAGGGCACACAGAACTGGAGTGCTGTGTACATGCCAACCAGCACTAAGCAACTGTAGCAAGTGCGATAATGTTGAAACACCTTCTGATTTGTGTTCTTTTATCGGTAAACCATTTATTCTCCCCAAACCCCATCTGCCAAAGGCTAAGGAAAGCCCCAGCTGATGGGAAGGATTGCAGAAGTCCTTCCAGAGAGACTCTGGAAAGGGAGGAGGGCACAAAACCTCAGAGTGACAAAGTATAGGCTGTCTCCTGGACCAGGAAAGCTTGGAGTGGGTGCCAGGGAAGAAATTCCATATTCTGGTTTCTCAAGGTTGGAGGATCATGAAAAATTTTAGGTTGATCATAGAAAATAAAGAAACTACATTTTCTTTTCATACTTGAGTAAACGTGTTAAACTGCAACTCTGCTATACAGTAACCAGCTGCTAACCAGTAGGGCTAAATTGAGCATGTAAAACCACAGAAAGGTTATTTTGGATGAGGGAATGACAAAAGCAGGATCTACCAATTGTTAAGCACCTACTACATGCTGGTCATCTGGTAGGCACCTCAAAAAAATTATTTTATCCTCACAACAATTTTTTGAGGTAGATATCCCCATTTCAGAGGTAAGAAAACAGACCCAGAAAGATTAAATAATTTGTCCATGGTCACAAATCTAGTTCGAGCTGAGACTAGGACTTGAACTAGGATCTGGCCATGCATGTTTTCCCTCAGCTATTGGAGGGGTAGGCCAGGGGGCATCCATAGGCCCTGATTTTCCTGAAGTGGCCTTAGAGAAAAGATAGTTGTCATGAATTATGTTATTTTTAAAGAAATTTTTGCAGAGATATAATGACCAAAATACATTACCAAAAACAGAAACTTCAGACCAAAAGAAGAATTTTAAAAAAATCAGTGACATCTAAAACCAGGAAGCATTTTAGTAAAGCAGTTGGGTTAGTAGTAGCATGACAAGTTTTATCCTATGTTGCATGTTATTCTAGGTTCAGTATATGAAGTAATTTAATAGAGGTCTAGATCTATTTAAACCCTTATTTTTAGTTGAAAAATCTTGTTTTGCTCAATTTTTTAAAATGAAGGTAGAAAAATAGATTATTTTGGAATTGGAAAAGAATTATTACCTACCCTAATTCCTCTATTTTACAGATGAGATTGTTAGATAGAAAGACAGACATAAGCAGCCACGGTAGGAAAAGATAAGGCTTAAGGGGAAAAACCCACCCAAACCCTGCCTAGGGAGGGGTTTCCACTTGAGGACAGCAAAGGATTTGCAGGCAGATAACTTCCTTGCCTATAGGGACCAGGCCAAACCGGTCCCAACCAGGTCCCAGCCCAGGCCCAATACAACAAAATTAAAAACCACCCAGACCACATCTCATCATAATCTCATTAAAGTAAAATTGCAGTGTTGCACCCCTCTGCCCCTGCCCTGCCTCGGGCTTTCCTGTGTGCATTCTGGGAAAGGATGCGGGCACTGAGAGGGATGGCTAGATAAATTAACCAGTCAAGCAAATGACCTCACCTTGTCAGTCAAAGAGGTGCCTCCTAGCCAGAATGTAATAAAAAAAAGTCTCCCATCTGAAGGATCAAGGCTTTTGCGTACTTGACTCCGTCCCAGAGCTCCCTTGAAGGGTATTCAAATAAAACTGTCACTCTGCTTCGCTATTATATCTCTGCCTTTCAATTCTTTGTTTAGGTGGGGACAAGGACCTAGGAGAGCAAACTAAACCCACAACAAGATAACAGACCCAGAACAAGCAAATTTTAGTTATCTCCATTTCAACTCCATGAGACAGGTACCTTTGAGCCTCATTCCCTTCTCTATCCTGGGGCTTAGCACAAAGCTACTACAGGTTACATAGCTCTTTGGAAGTTATGCAGGTGCTCAACACAGCACTGCATCCTATGCAGTGACCCAGATCATTTGCCCTTGAGGGTTGGGTCGCAAAGGTGCATCAAGCAAAGTGTTTTCCTGGAAGCATTCAGCATACCCAGTGCTCGAACATCATCAGTGGTGAGTCTGCAACTACCCAGCCTCAGGATTTTTAACTTGCTGACAAGATGCATTTGGGGCATGATTGAAGGGAGGGTTCCGCCTACAAAATCATTCCAGGAAATATCGAATTTTTCCAAGTCTGGGAGAAAAGGCAGCAAAGCAACTAAAAGAGAACAAGAGAAAACGGATTTACACATGTGATTTGTGATTCGTAGTAAATAGGATTCAGTGCCTACCGCACTGTAAAACAGGGAGGGGTCTCAGCTGTGCAGTTGAAGAAATTGTAATATTTACATTTCCTACTTCTTGGGACATTTTGTATTTCTGCTAAATAACTGCACTCTAAAAATGCAGTGGTGTCTCCTTAAGATTTCATAAAACCGCCTTTATTGTAGTGGAAATGGTAGTTCTGCTATTACTACCATTGTCCTGTAATGTGTATACAGTCCTCTTATTTTGCAGATCCCTCTGGTATCTGTCACCCCGCCATCCTATTGGATCCCCAGGCCTTCAGCTGGAGCTCTTAATAAATGACACTTAAATTACTTAGATTACTTTAAGATGTTAAATTATATAAATTACTTTAAGACTACTCTGTTACCCAGGATTGCTGAGATTGAGGGTGCCTGTTATCTTTTTTTAAAAATCAAAATTGTGATTACCAGGGGGTATCCCCATCTTAAAAAGCTCCTATTATACTTAAATGGACCAACATGTGGAGGTTAGGCAGGCACAAAGCCTGATGGGAACCTTCTCTGAGGCTCTGTCATTGTTCAGTAAAAGTGAAAAAAGATTCCCAAAGGCCATCTTTGCCTCCTGAAGCAACAAGATTTGAGAGTAGAAATGCCATCATAAAGGAGGTAAAGCATCTTTGCTTGTTTGCTGTTAAACATCTGTCTTGAGTGTTGAAATGCTGGCAGCAGTCAGAAGCAACATGCTGAGCTTCTATAGTTAAAGGCACAGCAATTCCAGACTTTCCAAAATTCTGAGCCATGCCTAGGAGCAAAAAAATATTTTCTTTTCACTAGCCTTCAAAGCACTTTAGTATTTTCATCTTGTTCACCATGATCCTAACTTTATAAAGTATAAAAATCTGTGGAACACATTAATAGGGAAAAAGCCAACCAAACAAGGATTTCTGAGGTCCTACTCTTAGAGACTGTGATTCAGAGGGTTTGTGTTGAACTCAAGAGCTTACATTTCCACAAGTTCTTCAAGGGATTCTGACATTTGAGACCAATGGGTGTAGTTAGGGTTCCCAGTTAAGAGAGCTGTCCAAAATATAACGGCTTGGATTGTAGTTAAAATAGTAAAGGACCCCACCACACACAAAACACAGTTCTTTTGATACCTCTGTTGGCAGACACATCTAACTGGATTAAAAAATTGATTTAAGGTATCTGAGAAAAAAAGAAAGGAAGAAAAAGGTGGTGATGGTGGTGTGAAGAGGGGTTTCTTCACAGCCATACTCCTGCTTAGGTGTAACAATGGTGATTACACTTTTGTGTACAAAAGGGATAAGCAATAATTGCTGGCAGCTAAGCTTTTCATTCCACAGATAACTAAACAACACAATAGCTCTTTAAGTTCCCAGCAGGGCTCAGTTCTGTGGATGAATTTCATGAGTTTATATCATATACAAGAATAGATGTTTTTCAGGGAACAAGAGGCAATCAGGAGGGAGGTAAACTTGTGGAAAACAAGCTGATAAACTTTAATCCTAGCCTCAGCTCAAATCTTTGAAACCTTAGCAAGTATCAATTAACTCATTAAAAAAAAAAACAACAGAGGTACAGCTCTCATTCTCCAGAGACCCTGGGTTGCCAAGTGAGAAATGAGTGGGTTTTCCCATTCATCTCCTCTGTGCAAAGGCAACTGTATACAGACCCAGTTCCCTCATGTCCGCTGTTGTTAATCTGCAGTTATTCAGATCAAGACACTTGTTGACAGCCTTTCTGCCCAGCTTCTGCAGGAACTGCTCATTTTTAACCATCCCAGATCCCAGTACCATTTCTGAAGCGAGAGGCGTAGCTATAAGAATAAAGAAGAATTTGCTGTTAATGACAGTATTAAAGATGCTTCATGACTACAGTAAGACAGGTGACAAGACAGACAACAGCCCTGAACCAGTCCCTCGTGAAACCTCAACTCAGATGGGGAAGCACTTACTGGGGGCAAAACCTACCCTCTGTTTCTGCCTGCGGTGCTCAACACTGAGCACACCAACTACCCTTCTCCCAAAAGGGCCTGAGAAGCTCAGTGGCTCTTCTGTCATGGCCTGACTAGGGCTTTTCAGCCCGTGGACAGAGTCGTGCTCTCAAACAAGAGGTAAGTTGTTAGCACAGTGCTTGAGATGAGCACCGCTGGATGCATGCACAGACATCTTTGCGAATGCAACTGCAGGGTGAGGTGGGAAGCACAGGTTTTTGCATCCTAACCAAACAGCTGAAGAAGGGAATGCATTGTAACCACCACTGCTGAGTTTCAGATAGCTACAGGGAGTGAGTGAAACATCGGCTGCCCATTTTCCAGACCTTTCGGTGACAAATCCAGAGAGTACTGCCTGGGAGAGCTTTTGTATTTTCTCAACTCCTGCTGTGAATACATTCAGAAAGCCTCATATGTCCTTCTGGTTATTAGGGTCTACTTTTGTAGCACCCTCACCAAGTCCCTCTATAATAACACTACACTAACCTGACATCACTAAAATAATAAAAGCTAAAGCTATAGTTTTATTGAGCACCTATGTATGTACCAGTGCATCACCTACAGCATGTGCCAGCATTCAGGACACATGTAAAACACATCACGCTTTTGTAAGGAAAAATGAATTTGCATGTACTGGCAGTGACTTTAAAGAAGTTTGGGAAGTGAAAATGTACAATTTAAAACATACAAAGATTGTGCTGGAATCTAATAGGAAAGTGTAAGTTTCAGATGTGCAATAACATTCTACTATCTCTGACACAAAAGTATAAAACTTTTTTTATAGCTAAAAAGAAATATGTTGATACCAGTGAAAATTAAAAGATAGTAAGATTACTACTTTAGACTAAAATATTAGTAAGGATAATAAAAACCCTACCTCTCTACCATGGTTGCTGGCTGATTTTTAAGAAAACCACCTATGGGAGTACATCTTTACTGAGATGGCTGCTGTTTCTATGTTCCACCAGTAGGAGGCAGCATCACCCACCGCATCCACCATTTTACTTACTATGGCCTTCACTTTTTATCACAGTCCACTGGATACAAGGTATTTTATTTTGGGTAGGGTTGGCAGATTTGGGAAAAACAAAAACAGCATGTCCAATTAAATTTAACCCTCAGGTAATCATTCTTTAGTAAAAGTATGTCCCAAATACTGCACGTATTTTACCTGGCAACCCTAATTGTGAGTGGAGCATAGAATTGTGGAGGGGGAAGTACATGCCCGTGAGTACAGGACATTTTATTTAAACTTAATACAAAGAGTCACAATTATGCTACTTCACAGATTTGGAAACAGAGACTCAGACTGCTATCTAGTAAGTAGGAGAGTCAGAATTTGAATCCAGAACAGTGTGTCCAACCCATTTGTGTGTTTTTTTAATTTTTGTGTTTTAAAAAATTTCTCTTCATTGTATCTTATGCTTTTTCTCTTTTGATTTTAAGATTTATCTCCATGGGCTCAACCTACAGCCATGCTGAAATTCCAGCCCCACCAAACCTTTTTCTTCGTTTACTCCTCAAGCCACTGTTTTGTCAATCATTTCTTTTTCCAACAAATGTTTGGAAAGAGTGGTTTGTTCTTGCTGTCCCCACTTCTTCACCACATTTACCAATTAACCCCCTACATTCTGGTAACTATACTCACCTGTCTATATGAATAGTTTCTCAAAGGTCACCAGCAATGAGCTTCCAGTTGACAGATTCAGAAATCTCTTCTCTGACCACATCCTACTTGGGTGCTCTGCAGTGTCTGTCTGATATGATTGGCAAGGCCAAGACCATACGACTGGAAGACCTGGTTCAAATCGTTGGTCCATCCAGTGAGCAAGTCACTTCTCTGAGTCTTGGTTTACTCATCAATAAAATGGAGACTGTAATTCCTGCCCAGTTCATTCTCAAGAACAGAGTGACTTAAATTTACTGGGGTCTCCCAGGGAGCTGGGACCCTGTAGTGCCTTTTACCTGAGAGGTACTTTGTCAATATTTATTGAATGAATTAATAATTGAATCAATAAATGAATGAATGAGTGAACAAATGATTATTGGCTTTATAGTTCCTCAATTGCCAAAATAAATCAACATGATAAATCTTTATCAAAACACCCAAGTAGAAATATGAGTATCAGTGTATGAGATCCCTGATATATTTCATTTTTTTATACTCTACAACCCTTATTTTTATAAGGATATCTGGTGCCATGCTCAATATATAAACCATATGAGCCAGAGCTGCATTGGGTAGCTGAGATCGGAGGGCTGGCACTCCGTGGCAGGTACAATGTGATTGCACAGAAGCATTTCTGTGGAGTGATTCCGGGCCTTTTCCTGGCTACTGCTGAACCAGGCTCTTGCTTCTCCAGGTGATTCTGTGACTTAAATAGCATCTCCTCATTAAGTTTTTTCCAGCTTATGAGTAAGAATCCCAAGCTTTCATAAAACATGATTACATGTTCGTAACATGGGTGGTGCTGTACAAGGAACCAAGATAGCAAGTTCCTGTTTTCAAGGAGCTACCTGTCTAATGCAGGAGAACGACAAGAAAGCCACAGTCACAACACAGAGGAGAAGTGCAATGGAGGAGGCATGCAGAGGGCCTGGTAGCACATGGCTGGGACAATAAGTCCCTCAGATTCGGTGGGTGAGTCTTGGCAGGCTTCCAAGAGAAAGTGGGGCATGAATTGTGCCCTAAAAGGTGAGTGGGAGTCAGCCAGGTGGGTGGATGTGAGGGAGGAATAAAGGGGGAAGGGTGCAAAGGGAGGGTGGTGATACAGGGAAGGTCTTTCTAGGCACAGGGGACCACTTTGGAGGAATGTGGCCAGTTCAGGAAACTGCAAGCAAATCATCATGTCAGGAACAGAGGATGAACATGGCTTAGGGGGATAGCAGAGGGCATGAGGAGATAGCCATCGGATCATAAACACCTGGAATACCATGCTTAGAAGCATAGACTTTCTCTTTAAGGCAAAAAAGTCTCAGTGAAAGATTGTATGCAGATTGTACACCATCAAATCTGTGGTTTAGAAAGGGCACCCAGTGGCAGTGTGGAGGACAGGCTGGCAGAAGAGCAAACTAGAAGCAGAGAAACCAGTTTGGGAGCTGTTGCAGTGGTCTAGGCAAAAGACAACGAAAGCCAGAACAACAGTGTAGAAAATGCATCAGTCTTAGAGCCATTCTGAGGGTAAAATTAACATGACCCACAAATCACTGAATTTGGGGGTAAATGGGAATGAAGAAGCCAATCACAGCCTGAGCGGCCACTGTTGCCCAGCTGGGATAACCAGTTGCCTGGTCTTGCACTGCTAATTTAATCAGTTATAGATATTTATTGACCACGTTCCTCAAACTACAAATCATACTGTAGAACAAATAACAATTTTCTGATAGTCTTCCCTTAAAGGTAGACCTTAACTTCTTATTTTCAAAACTATAGTTAATCTACTTACAGGTAAAAAGATAATTATTTTTGGTATTTATGCAAAAGAATGTGACATAACGGTAGCTATAAGTGAAACAAGACTGGTCAGGGGTTGATAATTATTAGAGGGCAGTGATCATGGGGAGTCCTCATGTTATTCCCTCTATTTTTGTGCATTTTTGCATAAAAAGTTCAGAATATTTAAAAATACATTTAATCTAATAGATGATATATTGGTGGCATTGTATATGACACATAATTTTAGAGAGAGATCTGGCGATATTTGCTTTCATAAAACTTGAATTCATAATATCTATTCTGGGAATTTAGCCTTAAAAAATAGCTGAAATACGATGAAGCAGGGAATAGGAGAGAGGGGAAGCCAAAGATAATCACTGAAGGGCAAAAAAGGAATTTAAGTAATTACGGCATATGCATGTGATGGACTATTATGCAGCTGTTAAAATTAGGCATGAGAACATCATGTAGCAGAGTGGGAACTGAGCAGTATGACAGTATGTTCCAGAAGTGGGGTCACAGCTCCATGTAAGCTCAAGAGGGACTTATAAGCAGAATATGCCCTTTCTGGCCCCCAGCTACTTCTCCTACTTGGCTCCTACTACTCCTACACTGTCCCCATGTCTCATCCTGACCATCTGGCTCATTCTCAAGCACTTCAGTTCCAGTCCCACCTGGGGCTTTGCATTTACAGTTCCTTTTACCTAGAAAGCTATCCCCACAAATATCTGCGTGGCTGGCTTGTGACATTCAGTCTGCATGGCTGACTTTATTCAGACCTCTGCTCAAATGCCACCAAGTCAGAGACTCTTTCCATCCAGCTGTGCCTAAAATAGCACCTACCCCCACCCCCTACCACCATCAGTCCCCATCTCCTTAGCCAGCTTTGTTCTTCATATCACTTATCACACTGCAATTATGTCAGTATTTGGACCTTTTGTATGTGTAAGGTCCTGTTTTTCATGGCTATATTTCTAACACAACAATGGCTGGCATATAATAGGTACTCAATCAAGGTTTGTTCACTGGCTGACTAACCATAAAACGTATGTATATGAGCAAAACACTGAAAACAATCTTGACGAAACGATCATGTGGGTTAGAATGAAAGGAAATAAGGTGTTTTCTTTAACTTTTCTATAGTGTTATAATACACTCGATATTTTAAAAGTAAAATTAGTGGATTATTTCAAGCATTTAATTAAGATCATAAATATTTGTAACAGACTGATACTAAGTTTAGTTTAATACATGTAATCTCTTTTGGGGAAAACATTCTTAAAAATGAAGAAATAACAGCAGTCAGGCTCACCTGCGTCTAAGGCGGCTGTCTGCTATGTCTTGTCGCAGGCTAGGAAATCAACTGTTTCAAGGTCACAGCCCTCTTTTTTGCTTTCAGCTTTGGAGGACCTGAGCTTTGAGCCCTTAAAGAATTTGTTGACAAATGATGTCTCAGGTTTAGTTTCTCCATCTGAAGAACTTTTGTTTCTTGCTTTATTCATAGTCAAGTTGAAAGAGGTCTTTTTCAATAAGACACCTGCCTGTTTTCTGTTTTCTAGGACTACTGAGAAGAAAATAAGCTCCTGTCAAGCCTGTGTGAAACTACAACTTCCCTATAAGTTTTTATTTCCTCTTTTCTTTCTGTTTTTATTACTGTTAATGTTTAATGTCAAAATAAGAATGGTGTAAACCAGGATCCAGGAACCAACAGATGGGGCAGATACGAACCCAAAGCAAATTTGAGGTCTTTGCCCTGTTTTATTGTGTGAGATACATGCAGGTCATTACACAAAACACCACTTCAGCAAGTCCATCAACTGTGTCAATATATTTTAAACTTCAGCAGGCAGTTAGAGGTACCTTCTAAGAGACGTAGTAACAGGAGTTAGCGTGCCTGTAAGCTGTGCGGCCCTTCATAAAACTGTGACACAGAGGAGTTTGCTCTCGGTGACCCCAGCCACTTCTCTTCACACACTGTTGCCTTTTCTCTTGGCATTTTCACTTTCTCTACTCCAGCCCTGCACCACCACCCCATTAAACACACATTGGCAGGAAAGAATTCGTTCATTCCATAAACATAGTCTGCTCTGGGCCAAATACCATACTAGATGCAAGAGATTCAATGACAAACAAGACAAAGGGCTGAACAAAGACAAATGCTGAGCCTCTTGTATTTGCTGGAACCTTAACCTGGTGAAAAAATGGCGCAGCATGCCAATAGTCATGTTACCCTGGGATGAGGGCCGCCAGGCAGGAGACCCCAGGAGTCAGGAACCCACAGCTGCACTAAGCCTGCCTTGGTGAACAGGCTTCAAACAGTGAGTGACACTGCCTAGGTTTTGGGGAACTGGGAGTTAGCTAAAAGGAAAAGAGATGGAAAAGTGTCCCGGGCAGGAAAAACCAGGCTCAAAAGCTTCCAGACAGGAAGGCCCCAAAGCATCTAGTGTGGCTCCAGGGGTGAATTCTGGTTTGCCTGCAGCGTGGGATGTGGGGGTGAAGGTTGCAGTGGGTCTGGTGTGATTTCAGGCTAAAGATTCATAGGGGTCACTTTATCATTGTTCCTGGGATTTGCTTACATTTTAAAGGGGGGCTAAAGACTTAAACTAAAGGGGAAACATTTTGTACAGGGGTTCCTAAAAATGCTCTTGTAGAGCCCATTTCCATGCCTAGGGAATGGGCTGTTCCATGCATTGGGATTACTATTTTAGAAGTCACAGTTGGTCATCCTTTCCTTTTAAATCAGAGCAGGGTCCAGCGCAGGTTTACCCAGGAACAGCATGGAAGCAGATAGTTGCCCCAGACTGCAGCCCACAGCTGACCAAGCCTCAGCGGGTTAGGTGGGAAAGAAAGGAAGACCATGAGATCAGGAATCAGAAACAACTAGCACCCCCGCCATCCTGGTTTCACCATCTCTCCATTGGCTTCTGGCTGTTCCTCTGGCCCCCATCCGAAGCTTCCTCTGTGCTCATTTTCATTCACTTTAACATTTTGGAGATTTATACAGAACCATTCTCTGGAGAGCCATCCAGTAAATGGTTTAACTTTTTTCTCCCCCTCAAAGTGCTGAGTCCAACTCCCACGTTTTAAGAAAACACTGCTGGATGGTTCTCCAGGATGTAGTAATTTACCCAAGTGAAACCCCACCCAGCCTGTGAGGCCCCGCTGGGTTCTCCGTAAGCAGGAGTCCTCTGCAAGCAGGATGGGAAGGGCCTGGCCCGGATGGCAAGAAGCACCACAGCATTCAAGGAAACAAGAGGAAACAATAAAAGGGCGGGGGGCAGGGAAGGCAGAGAGCAGAGAAAGGGCACAACTGAGAGGCGGACAGGGAATCGGACAAGGAGCAGCATGAGCAAGGAAGATTCGAGTGCCAAGGGAGGCACCCGCCGCTTAGCAGCTGGCGGTTTAAGGAGTAGGTTAGCATGCTCACCCTTAGAAAAAAATACTTCTTTCAAAATGTGTTTGGGAAATTCGTCTCTATATACAAACTTTAACAAGTACTCAGGCTTCCTATATGAATTCCGTCTTAGAGAAATCTTCCATTTCCCCCTTGACTCTGCGCTGGGTTTTATGCTGTGAAGGTAAACCCTGTGAACAGAATTTTCAGAGATTTTTCCGATCACAACAAAACAACCAGACAACAGCAGCTAAAAACTGTCTCTTCTCCCAGCATCATGCATTTAACTTAAGTGCCCTTTGGGAGAACTAAAGGCTGGCATTTCAGTTCAACTTAACAACATTAACCCAACAGTTACTTTCTATATTTACTACATTGTCAGTAGGAAGTTTATTCACACCCCCATGAAACCCCATGGATAATACTTTTAGACAAGTTTTCTCTTACACTTAAGCTGTTTTTATTTATTTTTTAAAAATGAGAAATACTTTTCTTTCCCTTGGGTTTGGGCTTAACATATATTTGAAATTTTGGAGGAATTTTCAAAGGCCTTAAAATTTTTGACTCAGTGTTTCAGAGTGAGTCACATTTTCAATGTCGCTTGTTAAAGGGAGATAGATTTTTTTTCTCCACAAAACTTATTTCATTAAAAAGGTAGGAAGTCCAGAAACCTGCTACAACATGGATGAACCTGGAGGACATTATACTAAGTGAAACAGCCAGTCACAAAACAACAAATACTGCGTGATTCCACTTATATGAGGTACCTAAAGTAGCAAACTCATAGAAACAGCAAGTAGAAAGGTGGTTGCCAGGGGCCTAGGAGGAGGGGAGAATGAGGAGATGTCATTTAATGAATAGAGTTTCAGTTTTACAAGATGAAAAAGTTCTGGAGATCTGTTGCACAATAATATGAATATATTTAACACTATTGAACTATAAACTTATAAATAGGAATTTTATGTAATGTGCTTTTTTAAACACAATTAAAAATTTTTAAAAATATGAATATTAAAAAATGTGATTCAGTGGACTAGGACTCTGAATGTAAAGAAGTTTTAGGAATACCCTAATCAATTTCTGTTTTTATCTTCCTTCTTATGTATGTACAAGTATGATATGATTTTTAAAAATCCATGCCTAAATATGTGTAAATAGGTTTTAATAAATATAAAGTGAAAATGCTAGGTAATTTTTTAAAAACTTATTTCAGTTACTCAGTTCTAAAGCATTCTGGTGGCATGCACTGTCTTGAGTTGTATGTCTGATGGGCTTAGTTTAGCCCTATTCAGAACTCTTACCTAGAAAACACATTACTGTAGATACATTTCTAATATTTTAGTTAATGCTACTATTCTCAGTTAATTTAAGCAGAAAAAGAATTTATCAAAAGGCTGACAGAATTTCTATTAAAAGATGACAGAGGTAAACATGAGTTTACCTCCACTCCTTTTGAACTCCATTTAAATAACAATTAAGAGTTTAAAAAAACCTTCTTTATAAATCTGCAAGAATAAAGACAACTGGATAGATACCAACAAATTTTTGGAATCTAGAGAGCATGAGGATGATTTTAAATGACTTTACAATTAAATGCTGCAGGGTTGGGGGAACAAATTTTTCAAATTTCAGAATCCTGAAAGTCTCAGTAAGTGAATCAGATAATTCTGAAAAAAGAGGTGGGTATGGCTGAGGCTGAAAATGAGATGTCTGGTTAAAATTTTGTAAGATGCTAAACCATTAAATTCCATTTCTTACTCCAGGCAGACAGGAGACTGCTTCTTCCTAACCTGGCAAAAGATAGAAAGTTTATTCTCAGGAGAGGTTGGAATATACAAGACCTGGACTCAGAGACACTGGTCATGTTTTGAGTGCCTCATTGGATAGGGAGGTTAAGTAAAGTCTATATATTGAGCCATGAGACTCCTCTCTAATCCCTCTTTGGTTCCTCTAAGAACACACCAGCAAACCAAGCTTAATCAGTGTCTTACCCAACCCGACAGAGTTGTATGGGAGGAAAACCAACTAGGAAAAATGACCAGCTCAAGAGAAAAGACCTACATGTATTGACTGTTGAGAGTCCCTCAACTGAATGAATCTGTTTCTACCTAAGCAATGACAGAGAAGCCTATTGATTGACAAGCCCTACATAAATACACAGGGCTCCCAATATAATGCCTAATTCTATGTACACTTGTTGGGCCAAAGATCTCAAGGTAATTGAGAAAGGACTGACATGAAAATGAGATGCAGAAATAATAAGAAAAAGGTAACTCAGAGAAAATAAGGACAATAGAGGGAGAAGAAAATAATTTTTTAAATTACTATTTTACTTAGAGAATTAAGAGAATATGTATAGTCTGTAAACCAAGAACCAGAAGATGTAAGAAGGGAAACATCCAGAGAACAAAAAAATTCAAAAATGTGATAGTTTCTGAGCAAAATTAAAGTGGCAGAGGCATAGATTTGAATCTACCTAGTCCTCCAACAATAACCACCACAACAAATACACAATAGTTATCTATGATAAAAGTAATAAGGTGTCCTGTTAGCTCCAATATACAAGGGGTGAGCTGATTAACCTACAGCAACAAGATGGACATGGTATCAACAAGTGGGCAGGAAGAAATAGGAAACAGGCAAAGGGTCTTCTTTGGCCCTGAAAGCCACCAAATTCACAGTCAAATTGTCAAATGTACTTATCCCCAAATATAAATGTCCTCATTCAGCACAGCAATCTGAGCTATTTGGGGAACAGTGCCGAAACTGGAAAGAGGTTCTAAGGGTGAAGGCAAAGGAAAGTGTGGGACAGTGTGGGCCCCGTTAAATCTCAGAACTACTCTACTGATTCTCCTTTCCAGGACAAAGTCCCTTACAGAGATGAATCTAAATTGAGCACAGAGATTCTATGTGCAAAGGCAAGAGAAGATCCAATAGAGTGGGGGAAGAGGTGGTAAAGCTGGTTTCAAAAAGCACAAGGCAATACTGTTTAACTTTGTATAATAATAATAATAGAGAAACCATGGAACTAGGAAAGCAGTCCCACCCTCCTCTCCTAATGAACACCATGTGGAACCCTTTATAGGGTTGCTTGATGTATCCTCACAAAATGGCAGCTGACTTGCCAGAGCACACGAGTCATGGGCAAAAGCAAGGAGAAAGCTGTGTTGCCTATATTGACCTAGTCACACACCACCCATCCC